AAAAAAAAAACATTTCAGGACAGTGCTGTCTTGTCTACATTTTGGCATTTTGAAGGTATGACTTTGAAGTTCCTTGGGTCTGAAGACCTTTGCTAGGCACATTTTCTGAATATCCATGATACTAATATTTTATTATTAAAAATTGATGGTTATTATCCTGTTAAACATTATGTAATATTGCATCAAAATTTGAAGAAACCCCTATTTTTGGCACTGCTCCCATGATGACCATTTAAGGAAAACCTGTCATTACTGTTCTCAAACTTACAGGATAGAAACATGGGACATGAATAAAGCTTCAGTGGCCAATGCAGTCTGTTTGGTAAATTTTTCTGGCAGTTAAACTGTTTTTTTTTTTTTTTTTTTTTTTTTTTTTTGTTTTGTTTTTTTTTTTTTTTAACCCATGCTTAGTAGTAGTTGACCTGACAAAGAAGTAAAGGGTGTTGCTTTACTTATAGTATTACATATTTTTCAGCAGCAAGTCACAATAAGCATGAAGAGATAGCAAGCACCTTCTAGTCCAAAGAAGTAACAAGCAGTTAGTAAGTACTGTAAATGTTTTTATTTTCCTTGCATTTCATTTATTTTTGTGTCTAATATAGCCACTGCCTATCAAATAATGTCAGTTTAGACACAGGACCCTGAATTACAGGGTAATGCAATTATTTTTTTTTTCTTTTTTGTCACTCATGATCAGAGAAAAACATCTTGATATGAGAAGAGAATCTGTGCTCCTTTATAGACAGAATTCCTCCATGAAGATGGCTGAGAGCAAGTTGTTGACAATGATTTCATCTCAGTCACTTATAAACATCTGTGCATCAAGTATGATGTGCATGTAGATTCTTTTCACATTTTCATTTAACACGATATTTGTTATTGTGTCTTCTTCATACCCAGCCAGACAACATATGCATCATATATCTCCATTACTAATGTTATCACAGGTGTCTTGGGGTGCATTCCCAGAGATTTAGATCAATCCAGAGATTAGGATATAGATTGACCTAACTCCCAGGGGGTTCACGCTAAATTGCAGTCAACCGAGTGTGCACCATAGTTAATTACCCTCTTACAGCTTTTAGTAGGCAGGACAGACGCTTAAGCTGGCTAAGCTGACAGTAATCTAGTGAGACTCCCCACAGGGATAGGTCGATCTAAAATCTATGGGAATGGGGTCTTGGACACAGAATACTAGTAGACGTATAGTCATATAGTTTGCATTTTTTCCTTGGTATGATAAGCTGTAAGAGAAGATTTTTTACGCCATGTGATTAGTTTAATGAAACATGAAGAAAAAGGAGGAGCATTCCTTTAAACATTACCACAACAATTCTTGCAAGATTTTTTATTGCATCTGGATTCTTTTAGGTGGAAAAGCATCTCTTTTGATGGAACCACAATGGCAGTGGGACGTTTTTATTACATCTGGGCTCTCTTTATGTGTATATTATGACAGTTTTCTTTTTGGGGGTTGTGATTTTTCTCCCAAATAGGCTACCATTTCTATATTTGCTCACATGGCACTATTGTGGAAGAAATGTGTTTTGTAACAAGAGCATTTGTGACTGAACGAATGCAGGTGGGAATTTCAAAGATAGGAATGACAGGGGTCGAAATAGACGGTCGTCACTCGTAAATTCCAGATAGTGAAAGCACAGGGATGACCCATTCAATGACTTGAGGAATAAAGGACATTCTTTTGTCAAGTATATATATATATATATATATATATATATATATACTGGTAGTATCCCCATACCACTTTCCCTTTCCTACAAAAGGGAAGAAAAAATTGTGTGTGGGGGGGGGGAGATCTTTCAGCAATAGATGGCTGAATAAAGCCAAAGCCTCCTTATATAATGCACTGCACGCGCCAACCACAAATAAATGGTCTAATCTACCATGACCACCATGTTAGAGAAAGACAGAGGGAGGACAAGGACAGGAGAATCTGACCACACAACATGTGCTTAACTGTGATCTCTCAGAGATAGCCGCTGTCCCCCCTCCCAAATTAACTGTTTCACTACCCCACCCTTGTAATTATTCCTTAATTATAAGACCTGTTATTGTCCCTCACCTGTAATATCCCATGTTGACCTTTTGTTAATAGGTACACAACACAGATGGACCAGCTAGATTAGATATAAATGACTTGTAATGGATGAAAATTTTGGGAGCATTTTGACAGTTGACTGATTTGGTAGGTTCTGGGCGGTGCTGGATGGTTTGGAGACAGATGTTGTTGTCTATATTATATAAGAGGCTGGAGTAGCACTGGCAATGTTTTCTCTTAGCCAAATCTATACGAGTATTTTTTTTTTCTTCATTTTTTCTCCAAATGGTTTTAATTCAATCAAAACAAGTCAAATCAACCATTTTTTCTTTAGCCAACTTAGGTCAGTTTTAGCATTTGGCTAAATTGGTGAGTGTCAACGTTACCCCAGAGAGGAAATGCAGTACAGACACCCCTTCTGCAGGTGCCTCTCTCCCG